AACCAGGGGGTCCCTTTACCCTATGTACTCATGTCTCCCATATTTGAGTACCAAATTGTTTCTGTTACTGGGGTGTCCCCCAAAAAGACAGCAATGGCTGTGAGTCAGTAAAATGTTCAGAGATAAACCACTTGGAAAACAGTTTCAGGGAACAGCGAGTGCTTTATTACATGTGAGCCACTTAGGCAACAAAAGCCTATCAACTGTGATTGGTTAGCACATTACCTCAGATTGGATAGAGAGCACCAGTCTATTGGGAAGAACCACACTGGAGAAGCGAAGAGTGAGGACTTGTCCGCAGGCCAGCTACTAGACCCATACTACTTCCAAATTCAGTGTTCTGCCTTTCTGGGGCTCAGCATTCCATGCTTCTTATTTACAAGCGCAGTGTGCCAAGGAGGCGGGCCACTAGGACATGCCTGCATTTTCTCCTACAAGAAAATGCCTTACAAGTCTGCCTACAGCTCGATCTTATGGAGGCAGTTTCTTAATTGAGGTTCCCTTATCTCAAATGATTTTAGCTTGTGTCTAGTTGACATGAAAGTAGCCACACATCCATAAAGAGGAGCAAGCCATTCCACAACTTCCACACTGCTAGAAGAGAAGTGAGGGCACAAGCCAGTAGGAAGGTTTGACTGATCCCTTACTGCAGCCTACAGAATCTTTGGTGACATCCAGGGCCTGACTATTTTACCCCAAACCCACAGTATCTCACCGAGGCTAGGAGGAGTGTAAGACAAGATTACAATCTACACCATCACTCCCTCAGGTACATCATCATATGCACACCTTCAGGGGACCTCTGGTAAAGCACAGGGCCTCCATCTCATCAACTCCCTATGACCTACCAAACCCCTATTCTGACCCTTCAACAAGGATGAGTTCTCTGTTTGCTCTGTTCCTATCATTTTCTACTCATCTTTGAGTATTAATTCTGTGGCACTTGTGCTTGAAGAAACCAAAACATAATGGGAAACAAATCGCTGGAAAACTGTGTCCACATTTAGCTTACCCTGAATTTTCTTGTATTCCAATGCGTTTCCACCTTGGAGCAGAGGATCTAGGGGTACTTTGGCAGGTGTTCCCCTGAACCACTGGCCTGCATCACACCTTACTAGGCTTCCCATCTACATGGAATAATGCTCCCCCCTTATCTGCAGAGCCCTAGGAGGCCAAGGCTGAAGCTCATGCCTGGGTCAGCTGGTACTTTGACTGCTTTACCACAGGCAGCTTCTGTCCCAGCATGACTCCTAGCAAAGCCCCACCCCACACTGGCTGCTGCCATCCTGTTTCTGCAACTGGTCTTCAGAGGAAGGGAAAGAAAATGGAGCTTTACTCAGCAAAGGAAAGGACACAGAATTCACTGCCCAGTAAAGGCATCCCTTGCTCTTTGATAGTTTAAAAGTACAAACACCAGAGAACTTTAATCAGATGTTCAAACTGACAAACTTAAAAAATGGATAAAGCGGAACTTAAAAAAAATACTTTTATTTTATGTGCATTAGTGTTTTGTCTGCATGTATGTCTGTGTAAGGGTGTCAGATTCTCTGCAACTGGAGTTACAGACAGTTGTGAGCCACCTTGCGGATGCTTGGAATTGAACCCAGATCCTCCAAAACAGCAGCCATTGTTCTTAACCGCTGAGCCATCTCCCTAGCCCCATAAGGTAATTATTTTATTTATTATTTTATGTATATTGGTGTTCTGGCTTCATGTATATCTGTGTGAGGGTATCAGATTCCCCAGAATTGGAATTGCAGACAAACTGTGAACTGGCACTTGCTTGCTAGGAACTGAATCTGAGTCCTTTGGAAGAGCAGGCAGGGCTGTTAACCACTGAGCTTCAGCCTCAATGAACCTACTCTTAACCAAGCTTCTCCATAAGCTTCTAGCAGAGTTTGCTGCACCCCATGTCCTCAGTGCATGTGATGTGCAGTATACAATGGAGGAAGGTAGGACTCTCAGTGCCCCACAGGCATCTGTGCCCATAACATGGGCCAGATCTGCATGCCACTGCCCCCCAAGGTCCCTCCTCGAACTCTAGGCTCCCACACAGCGGTGTGAGGCCTTCATCTTCAGCATACAGCCTAGAAAATGGCCAGAACCTGAGCCACAGCTGCTGCTACCAGTTGGGATGGTGGGACCCTCTTCCTGATGTTACGTACTCACTGAAGACCAGCAGCTCTTAGGAGAAACCCAGAAGCACTCTAGTGAAGGAGGGACAGACCCACAGAGCCATGTGACCCTAGGGCTCCCAGTCAAGAGCTAGGTGGAAACAGGTCAGCCTGATGAAGCGCCCAGTGACCTGGAAGGAAATGGACAGACTGGAAAGTGGCTTGAGGTTGGGTAGGAGTCCCTCCAGGGACTCAATCTCCCAGTCCCTTTACCCTAATCCTGGTGGCAATCCACTCTGGCCCTGGTATCCATGTCCACGCCTCATGTATAGTTCTCACTACCTGCTCCCTCAGGCTGTGTCTGGCCACCCAGCTCCCTTCTTGCCCTGCCATCCCAAACCAACACTTGTCCTCAAAGTCTCATGGAGCCAGGCTGCTATAACGAGTCAATACCAGAGGCCACTCTTGTTCTCAATTTCTGCAGTTCCATGTGAAATGTGTTTCTCCAACAGCTTAGTCAAGTGACTGAAATCCAAAGATAAAGCAAGACTTTTCAGAGGATGAGCTTCTTGACAAAGCAACTGAAAGCCAGACCCCTAAAAAACTGACTGACTGGCATTCTGACAGTGAAGAGACTTGTCAGCAACAAGATGGAGCCTTCTTCATCTGCCTTCTCCATCACTATGTGCAACGTTCCTGAGCGCAGCTGAGGACTAGATAATGCAGAGACACTAAGGAAGCCCTAGCCCTAGCCCTGAAGAGCTCTGCGACCCTAGGGATCCAGGTATATCAGGCACAACAGACAGCACTAACAGTGAGGAAACACCTCAGAGAGGTGGAGGAACAAGGCTCCTCTGGATGGAGTTCCAGAAGGCCACAAATATGGCAGGCACACAGACCCTGTATCCCAGTGGCCACATCCCAGTCCTGCCATATCCTACTCTGAAAATTGACAATTCTAACCCACTTGGAGCTTGTTTTCCCATCCATTTAAGCTTATAAGCAGAGATTCACCAGGGAGGCAGCTTTGAGGACTACTGAAAGTAGGGTTTGGGCAGTCACTTATAGTTTCTAAATGTTCTTTAGGAGTCTGACACGGCTGCAGAAAAGTACAGAGATCATAAGCACACTTTGCGCACATGCCTGATGGGCTGATGGGAGTACACACACCTGGTGCAGACACACGGAGACATAGACACAGCTTCCCGGCTGCTTTTGTGACCATAGCTTCTCTGGGGTTCGGCAAGAGGGCCAGCCCACCCACACACCTGTCCCTGTCCTTGTGCTCCACATATCTTAGCCACAATTCTAAGGCAGCTTCCTGCACACCCCATTGGTGAGCAGCAAGTAACCTGTCCTTGTCCCTGTGTGACCCTTGCTGCCTTAACTGTTTCGAAGGCAGGGGTGTCTCTTGTCATCCAGACTCCAGTTAGAGCCTCCAGCCTCATAAGAACACTGCTGCCAGCCAGTCTGGGAAGAACATACTAGCTCTTTCATGTCCACAGTCTCTGCACCTGTAGGAGATGCTCCTTAAACTCCCAGACTTGTTCTCTACATGCCCTGCCATATCCTCACAGGAGTGCACACACAGTATCTGCTTGGCAATACATACCCCATTCTATTTTGTTCTAGGGCCAGAATCTTGCTGTGTTGTCTAGCCTGGTCTCCCAGTCCTGGGCTAATGGAACCTCTGGCCTCAGCCTTCCCAGTGCTAGGGACTATAGGCATATAACTGCTGCATCTGGCTATGCAGGTACTTCTAACAGAATAAGGTAGTCAGCCATATTCATTCACAGCCTTCTTGGAGCACAGGAGAGAAAAGTGCTCGTGAAGGTTGAGCCCTCTGCTATCTTTCAAGGCTAGGGCATTAGTGACCACTTGTTTCCATTAGCCTACAACAGCAGGTGACAGTTTTTCAGACATGCTAGCCCCAGCAAAAAACAGGACTGCACATTCACCTTTTCCTTTCTGGGAGCTCCTGTGTCAGGAAGGTTCTCATACAGGGCTGAAGAGCATATCTCATTTCATCTGGCAGCCTCTTTTGGGGCCAACCTATATTAGCCCCTTTTACAGATAGAGTCTGAGGCTCAGGTAAACTGGGCAATGTGCCCAAGGTCACACAAGCTAGTGACAGCACAGTTGGGGTCAATGCCACTAGCTGCAAGCCCAGTTCTCCTCACTCTGTCCTATGTAGCCCAGAATGAAAATCTAGGGGTTTTTCCACAGGGATAAAATATGGTCTCGAGATTACTTTCCTAGCTGGAGTCTAAACTCAGTGGCAGGAGCCCTGCCCAGCATGCATGAGGAGTAGAGTGCCACCCCCAGCGCTACCGTCACCAATAACAGAAAGAATGCAGTTGGCTTTTCTTCAGTGGACAGGAAAAGAAGTGGGTTGAGGAAGAATAACTTCCAAAAACAAAACCAGTCACATGATAATTTCATCAGGAAGGGTGTTCCCATGACACAAGCTGCAAGCAGATTGTCTATCAAAATCCAGGCCCTTCGTTCAGCCCTCTGGCCGCTGGCCTGCATTATGAAAATAATGTCCTAGCATGGTCACCCATGTGTAAAAGCTGCCTGTAAGACTGAGCCGATCACTACTGTGTGTTGTTGCCCATCACACAGGGCTAGACACCCAAAAACATTGGAGCATAAACTATCAAGACCTTCCACAAATGCCCTTCGGCTTGTGGAAGATCAGACTTTCCAGGCAAGTAAGCTCCCTCCTCCACTGAGGGCTAGCGCGTTCCTGCACTCCATAAAAACCAATGCCCTATCTCCAGCTGATCTTAAGTTATTTCCTCTCCTCCTGACTCTACCAAAATCACAACGGTATGCTGGATACCAGCAACCTCGGATCTGCATTCATCAGAAGGGGAGCATTACCTCCCAGAAGCTGTCGCTGGATACTTCGACTCCCACAGAATCGTCGTAGGTGACAGACATTTCTGCAAAGAATAAGGGGGTGGCAGCAGACACTCCAGTTCAGGGATCAGATGCTCAAAACCTGCAGACAGACCTGTGAAAGAAAAATATAGACGGTTGTAGTTTTCACATTCCAGAACAAAAGGCAAAGCATCTCTATTGAATACATGGCACCAAACTCGGCAGGCATGTTGGTCTCTTCTACCCTGCAGCAGGCCAGCCTCTCTTTCCTGCCCTGCCACTCAGTGTCAGTCCGCTCCTGAGGTTCACAAGTACCTCCTAGAGTTGACTCCAGTGTCACCAGTGTACAGGACAGCACAGCAGCTCCTCTGAGAGCCATAGTCAAATGAGGACAAGGCTGCGTTACTCACACTGCATGAAGTTAGAGGGATGGCTATTCTTGGTTGTCAACTTGACTACACCTGGAATTAACTAAAATCCAAGGGGCTGGGTGTACCTGTGAGGTAGGTGGCACCCCAAAAAAGCTACACTCAACCTCATAGATAGTCAAACACCACCAAAGAAGGAACTGACTGTCACATAGGTGTCAGTCATTAAGTAACGGCCAAATTATGCTTCCAAAGAAGGCTCTTTTTCTGGTGGCAGACATATTTGTGTCAAATACAGCAACCCTGCTCTAGCCAGGTATGTCTTTTGTTCTGCCAGGGAGTACGTGGTAAGAACATGGAGCAGCCATGTTGGACTCACTTCTTAGTACCAGCAGATAGTCTACGCTGAATTTTAGGTGGGTTTCTTGTTCCTCAAAACCCCTATATACATATGCTACTATCTTCACTTTACAAGCAGGCAACTGAATATCCAGGATTCAAACCACTAGTCTAGTATCTGCTGTGGCTGGGTATCATGCAACATCCCCCAAAGGCTCTAAAGCCGAAGGTTTGCTACGCAGTTGGTAGTTCCAATCAGAGAACTCTGATGACATCAGATTAATCCCCCAAAACTATTTTACTATATAAGATTGAGAACATAATGGCACCACGGAGGCAGGACCTACTTGGAGGAAGGAGGTCACTGGAAACATGCCCCACCCTTTTCTCTCTCTGCTTCTGGGACCCTATGGAGATGAGCGGCTTTGTTCCACCACACCCTTCTGCTGTGATGCTCTGTGAAACAATGGGGCCACGGCCATGAACAGAAACTATGAGCCAAAACAAACATTCACTCCCATCACATTGTTTTCTCAGACATCTGTCACTGTGGCAGAAGGGGAAAGGGGAGAAAAGAAAAACAAAACCTTAACACAGTCTTGCATCTGCATAAGTTCACTCCGCAATGCCTGCTGCATGTCCACCTGTCCTCCTCAGACTCATTTGCTTCAGGTCTAGAGATCACTCCTTCAGAAGCAGTGGCTATGGCTTCCCTATTGACAGTGATCGCCAAAGAGTGTGCCCTCATGATTCACAGCCACCCTCTGCAGGGCAGGGCAAAACAGACCACCTCCTGCAGCATTCAGAGGCTCACGTGGGCTTTAAGGTGTGGCTGAGTGGTAGAGTGGAGGCCTAGGCTCAGGGGAACACTGGGGATAACAGTTACTAAAGAACTCTGAAAAAGCACTAAACAACAAGCCAGCTATCACTGCTCTCTGTAAAGATGGGCTGAGCCTGGCACATGGTTTGTGCAGTTCACTGTCACTCAGACAGTGACTGGTGACTTCTTCCTAAAGAAATTGAGTTCTAATGCTTAAGCAGAATGTTCAAAGTTCTGAGGACTCGCCAGTGCTGCTGGTGAGGGAGGTCACTCCAATAATTCACCATTAAAGATGAAGCTAGCTAAATGATGAAAACACAGGGATCTCCCATTACGTCAGCCAGGAGGACAAAGACACACACTACACATTAAGAGTCTCAATACAAGTTTACGCAGGTGAGTGAGTGACTTGGTGAGTGCGCAAGGAATCACAGGTAAGGCCTCCTCCCTTCTGGGCCTCTTAGAGGGATGCTGAGCTTCTGCAGCTACTCAGTGACCTACCTGTCATAGGTAGGGCAGTGGACAGTGCCTCAGTTCTGCTCCTCCCAGAAGCCTTAACATCCCAGTTACAAAAGGGGCAAGGACAGCACAGGCCAAAAAGGAGGTATTAGTTACTTTTCTTGTTGCTGTCATGTGATACCTGACAAAACCAGCTTGAGGTGAAGGGCTCGTCTGGGCTCAGGTTTGATGATATAATCCATCAGGGTGAGTCAGTTGGTCACACTGCAGACACAGCCAGAAAACACAGGGCATCGAATGCTGGTGTTAAGCTAAGTTTCTCCTTTTTACTCATCTCCTTTTTACCCCTCCCCACCCACTGGATGGTGCTACCCACATTTAGGATGGGTCTTCCCTTCTCAGCTAAACCTGGGTACGCCCTCACAGACACAGCTAGATCTATGTCACCTAGGTGATTCTAAATCCAGTCAAGCTGACAAATGACAATGCAACAAACATGAAACCTTAGAGCAAGAAAATCCTAATTTACAAAGCCAGGCTGGTGGCCAATGCTGGTAACCCCAGCACTTGGAGAGGCTAAAGGACTGCTAGGTTTAAGGCAGCCTGTGTGGCAGAACATGCTCCAGGCCACCTGAGCCACAGTGTGAGACCCTGTCCAAGGCCATCACAGTAAGCCCCCAACAATGCTCACTAAACAATCCCGTTTTAAAAGGCACTCCTTAGGAATCCAGGAACAAGAACGGGGAAGCTTAGAGGTTAACAGAGGAGGTGACAGCTGTCTGTAGCCCCAGATGGAGGTTGGTACAACCTCTTCCTACCATTTCTCGGCTGATAACAGGTATCAGGTAAACAAGGGATGTGTTACATAAAACCTCTAGCTTCCCTTTAATCCCCTTAGTCCATTCCAAAAGGAAAAACCAAGAAGCCCTTCTTGAGGCATATAGGCTACTGCAGAAAGCAAGATGGTCCAAGTATTGTGCTTGCCTGTCTCCCTTGAACAGGAGGCCCCCCTCTCTAATCCTTGCCAACCACTAGCCACAGAGAACAGCAGAGGTGCTCACACCCCATCTTCCAGGCTATTCTGAAGCCCTATGGAGCCCCACAGGCTTCCCCCAACCCCTTTCTTTTTTTGGTTTTCCAAGACAAGGTTTCTCTGCGTAACAGAGCCTTGGCTGTCCTGGACTTTGTAGACCAGGCTGGCCTCAAACTCATACATATCTGCCTGTCTCTGCCTCCCCAGTGCTGGGATTAAAGCCATGTGCCACAACACTTGGCTCACAGGCTTCTTTCTTACTTATCACTTGCACAGAAAATCCTTCAGTCACTAGAAAATAACTTCTAAGCCACTGTGCAAGCCAGATGGTGAGGGGACCAGCCAGCACTCCTTAAACAAGGGACACATTTACCCACTCACTCCACAAACACTACCATGTATCTACAACTGGCATAAATTAGCGACAGAACAGGGGCAGTAAGTAAGACAAACTCAGCCCCTGCTTTCCTGGGGCTGATACTCCCCTAAGGGTACCCTGACATGCAGTTAAATGACATGGCCACATAGTGTGTTAAATTCTACAACAGAGGAAATGTGGATGCTAGAGAAAGGAGTCTGTCCGAGGGGCAGGGACTTGTTGAGATCAAGTATGGCCTCTGAGGACTTAGAAAGATAGGAAGTAGAGACAGGTGATTCCTAGTAGAGGACCAGGAGACTGACAGCTTACCCTGTACCTGGCACAAGAAGGTCAGCACGAAAAAGCTCGAGACAGGACTGATGAGGTATCATTGACAGGAGGTCGAGCAACTCAAGAGTTTACCTCTGTACTCTGCTTTTCAAAACTAAAGCCTCACAGGTAAGACATATATTAAAAACCGAGCATGGGGCAGTTAAGAACATGTATGCTCTTGCAGGTGATGCCAGTTTGGTTCCCAGAATCCATGTCAGGCAGCTCGCACCTACTGAACTCCAGGCTCCAGGAGTATCCAATGCATTTGTCCTCCCACCCCACATACATACATTCACATAATTAAAAATAAATCGTAAAAGGCAAAAACCAAGCTTATGTGTGTTCTATATCCTTTCGTAGCTCTGCACACTGTCACACCTCAATGTGAGGTGTTTCCACCTATCCTGAGATCTGCTGTAGCTCCAAGTTTACCTTACACATAAGCTCAGCCAGGGCAGCCAAGAGCAGGAGTTCACTATGGGACTGTCTGTAGCAGCAGAACACAAAACTGAAAAGTGAAAGCTACTTCAGTACCCATCAAATGTTGATACTGGAGCTGGGAGAAGTGACACAAGCCTGTGATTGTGGTCCTAGGGAGGCAGAGGAAGTAGGACTGACAAGGCCAGCTTTTCCTACCAGCCAGTTCCTGTCTGAAAAAGGAAAGAAAAGATGAGAAGAGATTAAAAAGAAGCAGAGGAAATACACTTCAAGCCTGGGACAGCAAGCAGCCAGCACAAGGCTGCCGACATGAGATTAAAAAGAAGCAGAGGAAATACACTTCAAGCCTGGGACAGCAAGCAGCCAGCACAAGGCTGCCGACATGGGGACACGGCAGCTCTGGCAGCAGATCTGACCTCTCCAAGCTCACTGATGAGAAATCCTCACGTGCCCCTGGTGGTGAAGGGAGTGTCTACCTACTGTTATCAGCCTCCTAAGCTCTATGAATGTCAGCTAACAGCACAGAATGCTTTTGAAATACAAATAGGGCAAACAAACAAACAAAAAACCCATTTGTTTCATAAATGATGTCATGTTGGGATGAAGGGTGGTCCCACAGGACCACATTCCAGGACACCCTCACAGCTTCAGGAAAAACTTTCCTATGCACTGCTAGGCTGGCTCCCTTCCCTCTGCAAATCCAGAGAGATGACCAGTTCCTCTCCCCATTTCCTTGTGGTACCGCTGCCACTGTCGCTTCTGCCCTGCATTGTTGTTGTCAGCTGTCTCCTGTGGCCCTCCCAGCACCACAGTTCCACTTCAGTCTATATCAACACTGTCACTCTATCAAAGTCTAAGTCAGCCTAGTAACCACCCACATAACCACGCACATTCCCCTCCAGTGGCCTCCACAGCTAGAGCTCCACTCACTTCCCATCAAACTGTCTGGTCCTCAAGTCTCACCCTTCCACCCCCACCCAATTCC